AAGCCACATAGCTTGATTTCAGCGTTTTTCACATCATTTTCAAACTTCTCTTTTTCATTAGTTTGCTGGAGACATTTAGGTATAGATGTCTGGTTTGGCACAATGCAGTTTACCCTTTCTTTGTAGCTCCCTTTGCGTGATTCTTGAGAACGGCGATTTCTGATACCATCTGGATGTTGCAGCAACAACAGAAAGCCTTGGTTTCGTTCCCCCTAACAGGTGCAAGCCATCCTTTGAAAATAGGGTCCAACTCCCACGCAGAACGATAAACTTGTGTCCGGTGTTGCTTTGCTTTACCTTCATCCGTCCCTTCTCTGGTATGTCTTTTAAGATTAGAAGCCATTGTCTCGTCGCTCTGTCATCCTAGATTAGACTTAACTCGGCGCGCTCGCGGGCAAACAGCAAAAACTGGCGGGACACTGCCACATTATATAACCTTACAGTTTCTCGCGAGAGTAGGCCCTATCGATGTGATTGGGCTATTTATTGTACAGACCCAGAGTCAGTTTTTGTAATAGACACAATAGCATAAACCTGTAAGCACTGAGGTGAAATCTGACTTCAGAACAGTTTAAAATTATGTAATTGACTTGGGAAAGCCACAGCAAAAGACAGTGTTACTAGATGCAATGTGAAATTATCATACATTTGAGGATTTTTGAAACTATTGATCGTACATCGTACAGAGCCCAAAATTATGGTACAAATACGTTAATTATCGTACATCTGGCAACACTGGTGGTAAAGCTCCTCCCTATATCACTGAACTGCTGAAGCATTATACTCCAACCTGAGCGCTCAGGTCCACCCACCAGAACATTCTAGAAGTTCCAAAGATCAGATATAAAAGTCGAGGTGATAGCTCCTTCAGGGCTGATGCACTCTGACTTTGGAATACACTTCCTTTATTTTTATGTTGTATTGCTGTCTGGACACCTTACAATAGCAGCTTTTACTTATAATCATTTTTATTAAAGTGTGAATTTTGTAATTGATATTATTTTCTTTTCAAATACTTTTAATCTTTAGTTTTTTTTATCTTTATTCATTTGATATTTAGTTATTATTTTATTATCTTTTGATTTTTATGGAAATAAAGTTTACTTACAAATATCTCACAAACTGAATCCTAATGAAACTTTCAAATGGACGTCTTCCACTTTTGTTGTCAACCAAAATCACGATAACTGCCACAGTTCATTGACCTTAGAACGACACACCAATGGCTACATAAGCCAAACTGAAATACTAAATGTCATGGTCTGCATCTGCCCCCTCCTTTATGTGCCTCCTGGTGTCCTCCATCCCTCTCTAGATTCCCTCTTGTGTCCCTTTGTTCCCCAGCTCCTCTTGTGCTCCACTCCAGGTTCTCCCCTTGTGCTCTCTTAGTGCCCTCATGTGTCCTTGTCTGCATCCCTGTTATGTGTCTTATGTTGTAGCTCTTTGGCGCCCTCATGTGTCCTTTTCTGCGTGTCAGTTTAGTGTCTTATGTTTGTAGTCCTTTAAGTCTATTCCTCCCAGGTCTTGTGTCATCTCATTCATCCCCAGGTCCTCCAGGTCTCATTTACATTCTGTGTCCTTGTAGTCCCCAGCTTCTTTGTCCCCAGCTCAACGTGTGTGTGAGATTCAGTCTCCTGCTCAGTGTTTGTGTGTGTGTGTGTGTGTGTGTGTGTGTGTGTGTGTGTGTGTGTGTGTGTGTGTGTGTGTGTGTGTGTGTGTGTGTGTGTGTGTGTGTGTGTGTGTGTGCTTGTCCATTCCCCTTTCCTGTTTATATATAAGTACATTGGTGTGTGTGTGTGTGTGTGTGTGTGTGTTAGTCCTTCCTGCAGCCTTTAGGTTTAGTTTTGGTGTCTTAGTTTCTTAGGGTTATTTGGCCCTCTGTTTCTGTTTCCCATTTTGATTATTAGGTTCACCTGTCTTCCCTCCAGCTCTCACTTCACACACCTGCTGCCATTTTCCCTGATTGCTCCTCCCAGTGTATTTAAGCCCTGTCTGTCTCTGTGTTCTTGTCGGTCCATTGTTGATTCTGTCAGTTTAGTCCCTCTGTGTTTAACCAGAGTTTCTTGATTCCCAGATAATAATCTGCTCTTTGACCTTTGGGATTTTTGGCTTTTTGGATTTTGACTCCCAGTTTGGATTACCTTGGTTTTTGGCTCACCCACAAAATAAAGACTTTTTATTTAAAATCTTCATCCCTGCCTCCGTGTCATCCTGGGTACTGCATTTTGGGTCCACACCACCGCATCGTGACAGAATGGACCGACCAGAACAGGACCCAGCAGGAACTCCAGGTACACAGGAGATGTTCTATTATGACGGTGATCCAGACCTTTGTATGGGTTTCATTCGGGACTGTGCCCGTTGTTTGGACTTGGAATCTTCAGAGTTCAACAAGGTGTCGTATATGGTGCTCTGGTTGAGGGGTAAAGCCATGCGGTGGGTTGCTGACCGTTTTGACATAGAGGATCTTAAGGCTGTGTCTTTTTGGGACTTTGCTGCATTGCTCCTCCGCACTTTTGGCCGAGATCCTCCTCCACCAGTCGCTGATGCCACCTCAGCATCTCAGATGGGTCACACCGCCACACCCTCACCAGGTCCTGACAGGGCCACCACTTCCTCTCCGATGTGTCACACCGCCACACCCTCACCTGATCCGGACTGCATCAACTCCCCATCTCAGACCATCAGAACCGGATTCTTCATTTCAATCTCTCCTATGCATGTTGATGCCACCTCAGTTTCTCAGATGGAGTACACCACCACACCCTCACCAGGTTCTGACAGCGCCACCACTTCATCTCCGGTGGGCTGTATCACTTCCTCCGCACCTGTTGACTTCACCCCCGCACCTCCTAGGAGTCGTGCTCATCGTAGACGACAACGCCATCACCAGCACTCTCCTGAGGCCAGAGTGGTGCCGCCTATCTCAGAGGCCCCTACTCGGAGACCTGCGTCTGAGTCACACCTCGCCTCAGCGGTGGTCTAAGGGGACGCATCGCACCTCGCCTCAGCGGTGGTCTAAGGGGACGCATTGCACCTCGCCTCAGCGGTGGTCCAAGGGGACGCATTGCACCTCGCCTCAGCGGTGGTCCAAGGGGACGCATCGCACCTCGCCTCAGCGGTGGTCCAAGGGGACGCATCGCACCTCGCCTCAGCGGTGGTCCAAGGGGACGCTTCGCACCTCGCCTCAGCGGTGGTCCAGGTGGACGCATCGCACCTCGCCTCAGCGGTGGTCCAGGTGGACGCATCGCACCTCGCCTCAGCGGTGGTCCAGGTGGACGCATCGCACCTCGCCTCAGCGGTGGTCCAGGTGGACGCATCGCACCTCGCCTCAGCGGTGGTCCAGGTGGACGCATCGCACCTCGCCTCAGCGGTGGTCCAGAAGCGGACGCCACCCGGCTCGAGCCCCGAAGCAGACGTACCCGGCTCGAGCCCCGAAGCAGACGCTCCCACGTCCCCGGGCCCCGAAGCAGACGCTCCCACGTCCCCGGGCCCCGAAGCAGACGCTCCCACGTCCCCGGGCCCCGAAGCAGACGGCGCTCCCTCCGGCTCTGAAGCAGACGGCGCTCCCACGTCCCCGGGCCCCGAAGCAGACGACGCCCTCTCCGGCTCTGAAGCCGACGTGGCCCCCTCCGGCTCTGAAGCCGACGTGGCCCCCTCCGGCTCTGAAGCAGACGGCGCTCCCACGTCCCCGGGCCCCGAAGCCGACGGCGCCCCCTCCGGCTCTGAAGCCGACGGCGCCCCCTCCGGCTCTGAAGCCGACGGCGCCCCCTCCGGCTCTGAAGCCGACGGCACCCCGTTCCCAGAAGCCTCAAGAGTTCCAGTCACCACAAGTTCCCCAGTCTCTGGCCTTCCAGTCACCACAAGTTCCCCAGTCTCTGGCCTTCCAGTCACCACAAGTTCCCCCGTCTCTGGCCTTCCAGTCACCACAAGTTCCCCCGTCTCTGGCCTTCCAGTCTCCACAAGTTCCCCCGTCTCTGGCCTTCCAGTCTCCACAAGTTCCCCCGTCTCTGGCCTTCCAGTCTCCACAAGTTCCCCCGTCTCTGGCCTTCCAGTCTCCACAAGTTCCCCCGTCTCTGGCCTTCCAGTCTCCACAAGTTCCCCCGTCTCTGGCCTTCCAGTCTCCACAAGTCTCTCAGTTTCAAGCCTTCCAGTCTCCACAAGTTCCCCCGTCTCTGGCCTTCCAGTCTCCACAAGTCTCTCAGTTTCAAGCCTTCCAGTCTCCCCGGGCTCTGGAGTTCCTTCCTCGTCATCCTCCTCTAAGACCCCTGTTCCCCGTCACTGGCCCCCTGGGCATCTTTGGTCCCGCCTCCTGATTCCCCGTCGCCGGCCCCCTAGGCTTCCCTCGTCCCGCCTCCTGATTCCCCGTCGCCGGCCCCCTAGGCTTCCCTCGTCCCGCCTCCGGTTTCCCCGTCGCCGGCCTCCCAGGGTCTCCTGTTCCCTCCTCGCCTGCCCCTTTTTGGGTTGTGTTTTGTTTGCTCCCTCCTCTCCCTCCCTCTGGTTGTTTTGTGTCTTGTTTTTGCCTTGTCTTTTGCTTGCGGTGTTTGTCTGTCTTGTGGTCGTCTGGTATCCGCCCTTAGAGGGGGGGGTACTGTCATGGTCTGCATCTGCCCCCTCCTTTATGTGCCTCCTGGTGTCCTCCATCCCTCTCTAGATTCCCTCTTGTGTCCCTTTGTTCCCCAGCTCCTCTTGTGCTCCACTCCAGGTTCTCCCCTTGTGCTCTCTTAGTGCCCTCATGTGTCCTTGTCTGCGTGTCAGTTTAGTGTCTTATGTTTGTAGTCCTTTAAGTCTATTCCTCCCAGGTCTTGTGTCATCTCATTCATCCCCAGGTACTCCAGGTCTCATTTACATTCTGTGTCCTTGTAGTCCCCAGCTCAACGTGTGTGTGTGTGTGTGTGTGTGTGTGTGTGTGTGTGTGTGTGTGTGTGTGTGTGTGTGTGTGTGTGTGTGTGTGTGTGTGTGTGTGTGTGTGTGTGTGTGTGTGTGTGTGTGTGTGTGTGTGTGTGTGTGTGTGTGTGTGTGTGTGTGTGTGTGTGTGTGTGTGTGTGTGTGTGTGTGTGTGTGTGTGTGTGTGTGTGTCCATTCCCCTTTCCTGTTTATATATAAGTACATTGCTGTGTGTGTGTGTTAGTCTTTCCTGCAGCCTTTAGGTTTAGTTTTGGTGTCTTAGTTTCTTAGGGTTATTTGGCCCTCTGTTTCTGTTTCCCATTTTGATTATTAGGTTCACCTGTCTTCCCTCCAGCTCTCACTTCACACACCTGCTGCCATTTTCCCTGATTGCTCCTCCCAGTGTATTTAAGCCCTGTCTGTCTCTGTGTTCTTGTCGGTCCATTAATGTTTGTTGATTCTGTCAGTTTAGTCCCTCTGTGTTTAACCAGAGTTTCTTGATTCCCAGATAATAATCTGCTCTTTGACCTTTGGGATTTTTGGCTTTTTGGATTTTGACTCCCAGTTTGGATTACCTTGGTTTTTGGCTCACCCACAAAATAAAGACTTTTTATTTAAAATCTTCATCCCTGCCTCCGTGTCATCCTGGGTACTGCATTTTGGGTCCACACCACCACATCGTGACACTAAAACCTTATGCAGCAGCAGCTATAAGTCATTCACGACACTTATTCTGACCAGGCTGGACTAGGCTTGGTTACGAGGGCCGATTCTTCCCCGGGCCGCTCTCTGAAGCAAAGAGGTGAGTGAGAGGGTGATGCTACATTGAAATCTATCTGGACAACCTTTTTCACCCCCAGCATGATGCTGTGGAGGCTTTAGCAGCTGCTTCAGTGACAGGATGTTCCATCCAACATCAGGCAGGTAATTCACCCCATCGGTAGTGAAGCTTTACAAGCAAACCATTTAAACTCTCTTTTTGCATTTTTTCTTTGCACTGTAAACATAGTTGTGTAGATTTGATTTAAATACACTTAAATGCATTAAACAGCTTTTTTGTATGTGTTCAAATTTGATGCATGCTGTTATGTTCCTCTATTACCAGTGACAGAGCTTGGTCCGCATGGCCAGCAGTAACTCAGGCTCGTTTCCAGTGAGAGTTGGACTTCACCAAGGCTGCCCTTTATCACCGATTCTGTTCATAACTTTTATGGACTTTTATGAACTTCTAGGCACAGCCAAGGAGATGAGGGAATCCTTTTTGGTGGCCTAATGATTGAGTCTCTGCTTTTTGCAGATGATGTTGGCCTCTTGGCTTAGGCTGCTGCCCCCGCGACATGACTCCAGATAAGCACCCGAAAAATGGATGGATGGATTTGTTGAAGCGTTTTTTTCACTAATTTCACTGATCCCTGTTGGGCATCAATAAATGTGTATCACGAGATGGAATGAAGTGTTATTTTTGAGGTTTGACCAAAGAATCCTAAACGTCTGATCTTTTACAAATTATAATAAAACATAAATGACAGGTAATGTCAGATGAATTTAAGGAACGACATAATGATAACCTCTTTATGTGATATCTGGCATGCAGCCACCAGATGGCACTGTAGAGCTGTCTTACCTGCTCTGTAACAGCAAAGTTAAATGATTAAAAAACCC